CGCTGTTTTCAGCGCACCCGGTAATTACGGGGATGGTGGTTTGCTCTTGCTTCCACCTGCCCCACCTAAACTACCATCACTGGCAGTCACCGGGAGCGAGCACACATACAGCTTCACCGTTTCTGGAAAATGACCCATTTTTCTCTTCTCAAGCCTCTCAGCATCCAGCATGACATAACCAAAGAGCTTTCTGCTCGTTGTCCTCACAAACCACCCCTCTCCATTGTCTTCCGACGACAAGACAACGCATCCTGCAGCTCGCTGGGAGCTAGCGTCATTTTCCCCCTTTTTCTTGGAGTTTGCCCCAAAGAGGCAATCACCTCGGACAGTTCAGTCACTGTACGTTAAACCTCTGGTTATTTTCCTGCCAGCGTGTGTGAGGAAACGAGGCCTTCTCCTAACAGGTGGGAGAGCTCAAGGTCTTCATTAAGAGCAGTACATGCAGTTAGCACCATACAACAATTTTAAGTATCATCTCGGTGATTTTCCATACCAGTCACTGCTGCTGCTCTTGTATGCACGACCTAATTACCAGAAAATGGTATCTAACTTGCTGTTTTGACCTTTTTTCCTCCAAGATGAGTCCAGCTGGCCAGCAGTGGCTCGGGAAGAAGGTGGACCCTGGCCTGCAGGGCTCTCCCTGGCAATTATTTCCAAGCCAACTGCAATGTGCTGTGGTGGCATCTCATCAGCGTAGACAGCTCAGGAAGCTTTAACTGCCCACAGACCTTCCTTGAAGAACCACCCCCGAGGCCTGGCCTCGGGGAAATGCTTCCAGAGTTAGGAAGAACAATCTGGCCAGACTCTTCTCAACGGTGCCCAGTGACAGGACAAAGGCACAAACTGGGACACAGGAAGTTCCATCTGAATATGAAGAAAAACTTCTTTGCTCTGAGGGTGACTGAGCCTGGGACAGGCTGCCCAGAGAGGTTGTGGAGTCTCCTTCTCTGGAGATACTCAAAACCTGCCTGGACGTGATCCTGTGCAACCTGCTCTGGGTGATCCTGCTTTAGCAGGGGGTTTGGACTAGATGATCTCCAGAGGTCCCTTCCAACCTCGACCATCCTGTGATTCTGTGAAACCAGGGGTTAAACCTGCCGTGTGTGGGAGCAGCCATGGGGATGGGGCAGCTCCACCAGCCCCCAAGGCTGTCATCCATCAAGACTCAGAAAGGTTGCATGGAGACTTCATTTGTGGGGGGCCACCGCCATAATGGGTGCTAGTGAAGGTGTGGGGGCTTCCACCACCAAGACGGGTGATACTGAGGGGGTCCCACTACCAGGATGGAGGGTGCTGAAGGGACACCAGCCCTGGTCATGGGCATCCTTCCGGCACCTCCTGCCTGTCCTTCCCGTGCCATACCTGGAGCATCAGTGACATCTGCTGCTGTGTCTGAGCATCGGCACCGAACTCGCCACGCAGCTGCCCTCCACGGCTCAGATCCATCCCCACGGGCCCTCTCTGGGTACACAGAGGGCGTGGGTGTCCCCGGAGAGGCGAGGCCACCGCCCACGTCCCCCTACCCAGGGCTGGGGCATGGCCCTGGTAGAACCACTTTCCCAGGAGCTCCCGTCATCTCAGCGTGCCCTTCCCTGGGGCCAGCACCTCAGGATCTGCTGGGGATTGAGCCTAAGAAAGCCAAAATAAAGAATTTGCTTGGGTGGTGCAGTAGACAGGGAGAGTGTTTTCCTGCAACGATGCAACAGGAACTGCATCTACATGGGGGACCAGTTCTTTCTCCCCCAACTTGGGGAGAAGGGCTGGGGCCTGAAGAAGGCCACCAGGAGATTCATTTCTCATGGGGTGGGTTTGCTTTTCAAGTGGACACATAGAAACGCCAGAACAAAGCAACCACCACCTCTGGACATGCCGTGGCCTTCCCCAGTAGCACGTGCCCATCACGTTTGCACTCGACGAGGCACGAAGCAAGTGAGAACCCACAGACGTCTTGCCTGAGCATGAAGGATTTTAACCCAGACTGTTCCCCAACACTCACGTCATCCCCATTACCCCCCAGGGGTGCAGGACAGCCAAGCTGAGCTCTGCAGAGCTGGGACCTTTCCCCGCAGAGAAGGGGCTGCACCCCCACCATCCTCAATGCCTTGCACCCAAGGTAACTTTCCAGCACTCCCACAAATTCCCACAAACAGGACATCTGCCCACCCCTACCAGCCCATCCCAGGGTTTGTATTCCCACAGAGAATGAAAGAAGCCAAAAAAACATCATGGGATTTTTTTTTTTTTTTTCCTTTTCCAATAGTCTCACTTTATTAGATACCACATCAAGAGAGGATGTTGTGCTGCATGCAGCGGAAGACTGAAGTGTTTCTAGTTCCTGTGTAACATTTTATTTTTCTCTTAACAGTTGTAAACTGATATTTTGCTGTAAAATCACTGCATGCAAGTTTGAATGCAAACAGCAGAAGAAGAGGCTTTTTTCTTTTTTTCTTTTTTTCCTTTTTTCTTTTTTTTGTCAGGAACCATTCCCAATCCATATGTGCATGCTTTATTTACAACAAAAAGAAATCATTCAGGGCAGAAATTACCATCAGAAAAACTGAGAAGAGGGCAGCAGAGACAAGAGACTGTGATTTGCACAATACCGAGAGGGGCACTTCATTTTTATGGGTGCAAGGAGACGATTTGAGTATCGTTTGACTGAAGGGAAAGCAGGCTGGGCAGAGAATGTCAATACAGGACATGGGTAAAGGCAGCCTTTAATTTAAGTGTTCTGCACACACAAAGGAGGCTAGGCTGCTGCAGGTCAGGATAAATTAAAGAATTGCTCAGCTACCTTTAAAGAAAAAAAAAAAAAAAAATGAACCACAGTAATTTCATCCTCGGCACAGCCCGTGCCGAGGGCAGCGTGGCTCAGGCTCTCTGGGATGTTGCATTTACTGGCACAGAGTTGAGAACTGCACAAAAGGATGGGGAAAACTTTCAAAGGGTCCTCTCCCAATTACACTCTTCTGTGCATCACGTCCCGAGCGGCTCCCATGGCAGTGGCCATGCCACAGGACGGAGTCTGGGGTGATGGGTGAGAGCTGCCCCAGCTCAGCCTGAACGGAGCAGGGTATGCAGATGCTGGTTTAAGGTTTGTGTTCCCCATCCGTGGTCCAAGCGTGGCTCCTGGTGGAGAGCTGGCTACCACGGGCAGGGAGCACCCAGCCGGGGCTGGGGGGACAGCAGACCTCCGTGGGCGTGCGAGCCCGGAGCTGGGCTGGGGAAGGGCTGCTCTGCAGCAGCAGCATCACCGGGCAGGCAGAGAGGTTAGCATCACACAGAGACACAGCCCCAGCCAGCTGCGGAAATCGCAGCCCTGCAGAGATGGTTGTTGCCAATCAGCACTCAGAGCTCATTCTGCTGGGGAAAGGGTGGGGGGAAAAAATTAAAAAAAAAAAAAAATCGACTAGGAAAATAACTCATCCAATTAAAAAAACAAACCATAACACAGCTCTGCGGTACAGCTGAGTTGAGAACACGCCACACGCCAGCAAACTATAGCAGCAGGTTGCAAGGGAAGTCATGGGACGACAGCGTGAACCGAAGGGGCTGGGGGTCTGGTTTCGTACAACATGCACCGTGCGTCGCTGACCGACAACACATCCCAGCAGCGCTGCTTGTGCTGCTATCGGCATTGCTTGAGGCTGTCCAGAGACAGCGAGTGGTACCAAACCCGAGCAGAATCAGTCTGAGAGCGTCTTGACTCTCCTGCTATGCAGGACAAATCAAACACCTCCAGACAATCATTAAAGTGCAGGTTGAAGACAATGGTTCTTGTGCAGATTTGGAAGAAAAAAAAAAAAAAACCCAAACCAAACACACAACCAAAAAACCCAACAACCCAACCAAAACCAAAAAAAACCAAAACCAAACCCCAAATTTTGGAAGACCTCTAACTGCTCCAGGTAATTTCAGTATTTGTGGTATTTTAAAGCGATAACCCTTGCACACATCAGCTAGTTGGTGGGAAGTATCTTCTCCCTCGGCTTCCCTTCTGCCCGTGGTACAGCAAACGGTTGGCAGCAGCAGGGATGGTCTGCGGGGGGCCCAGGGACTGCCCTCGGGGTTCGGCTACTCACTACTGCGCAGCTGGGACGGGAAGAGGAGGTAGTCACAAGCTTGAAACACGGGTGGGCTCCTACAGCGACGGAGCGCGCGAGTTCCTCGGGTGAAAGGAACCGCACGTGGCGGCTGGGAACGAGCACGAACCAACCCAAATCTCTGTTTCCCCGCGAGCACAGAGTGCCTCCCTGTTTCTCATGATTGTTATTGTATTATTGGTGGATTTTGTCAGCAAAAGGATGTATCACGATATTGCTCAAGTGTACCAAATCAGAACTAAAGCTCAAGCAGGACTCGCAGGATTACATCGGTGACACAGGCTTTAGCCTAATCACGACAACACAGATACCAGGCTACGGTTACGACCCACACCAAAGCCAAACAGCTTTTTCATTATTGCAACTGAGGTATCGATATCACGCAAGCGGAACGGGCCGGTGCTCAACATCCCCTACGCCGGATGAGAGCACGGCCGGGCCGATGGCCACGCGTCCCGCTGGGAGACAGAGGAGCCATGAGCCCGTGGTGATGGGACAAGCCACACGAGCGGAGGCCGGAGGAACACAGAGCATCACACACACACAACAGGAACGCTATCACGGCGTGCGTGAGACTAGTGAGAAAGAGGAACAGTCAGAGGGTAACTATTGCTTGACAAAATTGCACACCAGGATAATTCAATGACGCACTCCCCCCCCCCAAAAAAAAAACCAAACTAACAAAAAAAAACAACCCAAAGGAATTGAATACAAAAGATCTGGGTTAGTTTTCAGGAGGAGGGGCACAGAGGATGCTTGGAGGAGGCAGAAGAGCGTTGCTGCCCTGGGACCAGAGGCGTGTAGCACGGCATGACTGCACTGGAAGACGGACATCAGAGATCTAAAGGGGCTGGGTAGAGGATGGGCCATTTGGGGAGGTTCGGGCAGCAGCTCCCTTTAATCACTGGCAACGTGGTTTTCATTTTGGAGGGTGTGCCAGCGTTCAATCTTCTTGTCCTTGTTCTTCAAACACTCATACCAGTGTTTCAAGCGCTCCCCCTTAGCTGTAATGCCAAGCTGACAGCCGCCTGGAAGAAAGGGAGCAGAGGAGACATCACGGTCAGATACAACACTGATGTTCCAGTAAACCATTCCCATGGGGACAGACCCCACATTTGGGGCATTTCTCTCCACCTCCTGCATCTAAAATGTAGTGGAAACAACTAGAGCTGCTCTGCCCACACAGAAGACCCCATGGGATGCTGGAGATGGGGCAGTAAAGTCAGTGTACTGTATTTGATGCCCTGATACAAGTGCCCAACCAACCTGCACGGTCCCACCTCAAAGCTCAGCCTGGGCAGGGGACCTACACATCCCTCCCGTACAGCGAGCACGGTATCGGGCGTCAAAGCTGCACCCCAGAGCACAGAGACTTGCAGCTCACCAATGTAATCGTTCGATTTTCCAATGTCATAGTCCCAGACAGAAATGTCCAGTGACTTCTTGGCCAGGTCGCTGTGTTTTATATCATAGAAGAACTCCTGCAGAAGGAGAACACCCACGTCACCCCGAGGAAAATACACCCAGAAAACCGCGGTTAAGGAATTGCAAATGATCTCTCTGTACAGCCTGAATTCAAAATCCAGCGAGAGGATATTTAAAATACACCAACGAAGAGCAAATGTCCCTTCCCTGCGGCACCTCTCCTCCCAGGATCACAGCATGCTGCACAAACCCATAAGCTGAGATCACCCCTTGTATTTAAACGAGCACTTTGCGGGTGTCCCACCAAGGCTGCACCGGCCATGGGACCCCCCGGGGATGCTCGTCCCACCCGCACCCCTGGCCGGGGTGACACGGAGTCGGCAGCACGGAGGCTTCAGGGTGCAGCAGCGCTGCCCGGCACTGACCTGGTGAGATCTCCCATGGCAAAGTCTTTCCTAAAATATTCCTGGGTGCAGAAGGGGGAAAAGGAATCTGAGCAAGGAACCGAACCTCGGGGAGTTTGTCTTCCTCCTCCTCCACACAACAGTAATTGGCTAAGTTGATTTAATAATATAAAAATTACATCCGTCCTTACCTCATTAAACTCAGGATTCAACGTTTTCTTCTTAATTTGGGTCTTGTGCTTCGCCTTTTTTCCCATGTCGGGTTTCAGCCAGCTGCGGGGGGGGGGGGGGGGGATGACACAGAAAACAGCTCAAAACTCAAGTGCAAGAACAGTGTGAGTTTAAGCTAATAAAAAAAAAAAACCACCAGTGAGTTTTTGGGCTAGAAAAAAGCAATTGAAGATATTTAAGGCAAAGAAATGGATTAGCCTGTCTCCCTTCTCACCTTCTAAAATTATCTAAAATAACTGTAAAGCGAGTTAAATCCTGAATACTCTTTTTTTTTTTCTTCCTCTGGATTACCAGATGAGACACAGGAAACCATAAAGACCTGCTTTGTGCAGAGCTCGGCAGAAGCCGTTCTGGGGGAGCATCTCTTGCTCGGAGCAGCCAGGTAACGTTCAAACCCCAAAAAGCAGCGAGTCTGCACACGCACTCTTGATGTTCTTCCAAACCATACGTTGGTCCAAGGCTTTTTACCCCAAGCCACGCTAAAAGAAACAGTTGTAGGTGTTTTATGGAGCAAAAGCGAGTGAACGCTGCGTTTCGTTGGGGAGGAACCTGCCGAGGCCGACAGCGAGGAGCCGCTGAAATGGTCAGGGAATTTGGGAATCGAGCAGCCAGGCTGGTCACCAGTAGATGAGGGCAATTGCATGGCCGGTCAACGAGCCTGGCTGCTGGAAAACCCAGCCAAGAATGTGCAAATGCATACAGAGATGGGGAGAAATATGAAGAAAAAAGATAAAAATAGCCCGTTAGTGTTTAATACCACACAGACTAGTATACTCAAAGTGGGTTCACCTAGAGAAGGTGGGAAAAATTAGGGGCTCAGGCTTTGCAGCTTGGCTGTGGACCCAGAACTAAATTGTAGAGTTGGTATTAATTAGATCTCTGTTGGAACTTGATTTTAAAATGGAGAGCCACCATCTTCTGTTTGTGGGAATGGAAAATATAAAAAAATGAGAGAGGCTGAGAAGGAAAACTACTCAGTTCCACGCAGCTACAAAAAGATGTGCAGAATGTTCAACACCAGAGTTATTGAACGAGTTTTAGGGAGAACAGAGGTTTTTTTCTGAAGGCAAAGAGAAAACAGCAACAAAAAAACCAACGAAACCAGGAATGACTGCAGGGTCCTCTCCATGTTGCAGTTTATGAGGTTTGAATTAAAATTATCTTATTCCCCCATGTTCGCAGGAGCCACTCGACAAGCACTGCTCCCCCATCACCTGCCTCCACAGCAGAGAGCACCGACGGGTGCGCTGCTGCTCGAGGAGACCCGTTGCCAGCACGAACCACAGCAAACGCCGCTGTCTGCGTTAATTAAGCCGATTTGTTTGCAGCAGACGTGGCACGGGACAGGGACGTGCACAGCAGGGCGATCCCTGGGCTCCCAGATACAACCAGCACGTGGGCTTATGGGACAGCAAGTGGGGCACGTGCTCCTCGTCGTGCACGGAGGGACATCAGGACATCCCTGCCCTGCGACAGTGGTGGGTCAGAGCCCAGGAGAAAGACGTCTTGTCCTCCAGCTCTGCAGCTGTGAGGCGGCTGTTGGGTCTGTGCAGTTGGGAACCTACGGGGAGCGGATGGACCTATGGTCTGGGTCAGCGTCACCTAGCTTCAGCCACAGCAGGGACGCTACCACCTTGCACAGGCATCGCCGGTGAGCAGCTCAGTGCTGTATGAGGTCTCAAGGTGCTTGGGAAATGCTCTGCTCTCTCCAGTGGTTTTGGAAGGAGCTCTCAGCCCACCAGCTCCTGCCCAAGGACAGCGGGTGGCTCCACGACCACGCGTGACCGCACTACGCCAGCCCCAGCTCTCACTTACAGTTTAACAAAAGGGTCTGAGTATCCGTTGGCATCCATAGCTGCTAAATGCACGCAGCGTACGATGCCGACAATCAAGCCGCCCTGCTGGGTGCTGTACATGAGGGACACGAGGATCTTCCCACACCACGATCTACCTGCAAGAGGAAGCGACCAGAGATGGGGACACGGGGGCTGAGTTGAAGACGACTGTCAACTGCAGAGCAGATGAGACAAGATGGATACAAGGGAACCTTGTATCCCCATGGGGGGTGGGGCAGGGAAAGGGGCTTGTACATGAGAGATGATGGGTGAACTGTGCATGGAGCACGTCATCCTCCAAGGACTCTTACCTCCTCTTCATACAGTGCCATGCCACGGGATGAGCCGGTCGTTCCAGCACGCTTCATCTTGGATAAGGAAGGGAAAAAGAAAGGCTGGCATGAGTGACCGCAGCTGGGAGAGGCGTCGTCCTACAGCAAAAACACCCCCAGGAGCCCAGCCCAGCTCTTCCGTTGGACTCAGGAGTGGAAAGGGGGGTTAGGTGCATTCATCTGCTCCATCAACCTCCACCTCAGCAGCCTCAACACCTTGTCTATAGCACTGGGGAGCAGAGCTCAGGGATGGAACCACCTGCCCTCTCCTCCACAGTGGTATACATCAGCACAGGCTGGCAACGCTAGCAGATCTGCACCCACCATGGAGGTTCCTGGACTAATTTCCCCTGGATTCCCACCACACTCTTATCTCCTGGCCTTGACATGTCACATCAGCCCAGACATGGGTGGGAATCCAACTCCTAAAGATGCCAGTGAAGTCAGGCACCTACAGCTCTCAGCTGGTTCCAGCTCCAAGCTCACCACTAACTCCCCCACATGCCATTTGTTGAGGTTCCATCCTCAACATTAATGGCAGCGGAACAAAATTTCACAGAAACTCACTGGTATTACTCTCTCCAAGCAGATGTTGAAGTTCTTTTTCTGATTGGCTTTGAGTTTTTTCAAGGAAACTCTAGTTTCTCCAATAAACTCATTGTGGCCAAATTTGTCTTCATCACACACGGAGATCCTGAAAGGAATGGGAAAGGTGAACATCAACCAGGCTGGAGCAGTTCCCGACTCCGGAGCACAAAACCACTTCTGCAGGGGCACTGCTCAGGAGGTGGGCAAAGCAAAGCACCACCAAAGCCTCCATCCATCTGGCTCTCCTCTGACCAAAAGCAGTCAGAAAAACAAACTTGTGTTTTGCCAGAAAAATCAACATTTTTAATATACGCTCTGTGATGGGGCAGGAAATCGAAAGGTGAAAATTTCCTGTAGGAAGGAAATGCTAAAAATTTTTTAGAGACATCTAAACGTTTTGCTGGGACACTGTCAAATCATGCACAGATGTGCAACATATGAGTCTCTGTGCTGACAAGAATAATAACGATGCCAGTAATTTAATATTAAATGACAGGGTCAAAAAGCCTTTCTTTCTCTTTTTTAAAAGCACCATCAAAATCAGCATGTTCACGTGAAGGATGTTGATTTTGACCAAAACCTCTGCATTTCAAGGTGCTGCGTCAACACCTGCCCTTTGCCGCTGGTGCCCCCTCCTGAGGAAGACGGGCTTGCGACACCGCCTGCGAGGAGACCCACGGTCCCCATCCCACCACACCACGGGATACCGCAGGTGCTCTGCTTGCCTGAGGGTTTTCCTCTGCATGTCCTCATCTGTGATGCCATGGTACACCAGGGTCTCGTTCCACACGGGGTTACGGGTGTTGCGCAGCGTCTTCGTCCTCAGCTTATTTGACTACGGCATCAAACCGAAACACGGCATCGTTACACTCCTGAACTCCTCCCCACCTAAATTTAGGCTCCTGGCAGAGGAGTGTAAATTAGACGCTCCATCACCAGCTTGACTGGGGAATGGAGGACTCTGCAGGACATCACTGCTGCCTGCTGAGGCTGTCGCGCCGGTGAGCCATCAACTCCAGGTGAGCATCACCGACCCGACAAGATGGACCTTTATGCGCGCACCGGGGACTCTGTTGCTGGCCAGGGCAGCCTTCGCCACCCGGCTTTTTTCACTGTCTGGGGTCTACTGGGTCAGGGACACTTGTACAAGAAAAGGTTGCCCAGGGGGCAACTGCTGTGTGGGGCTTGGGTAATGGCCGTCGTGGGCTAAAGGAGAGGACAGCTTGGGAAACGAGGAGCTCTGTCTCTTGTTCACGTGCAAAATAAAAAAAGATAGATCTGCAAACAAGAGAGCAATAGATATCCCCTTCCTCAAAGGTTTCTCCACCGAGATCAGCTTAGCTGGGCTGGGAGTGAGATTTCCAGGGATTTTTTTGATGGAGAGAGGTCAGAGTTTACTCTTCACAGATTTAATGAGAACATGCTGTAGCTACAAAGCCAATGGATCGTTCAAACTCCGGTAATAATTAGATTTTGTGTCAGATGTTTTGCGATGCATTAACAGCATCACCTCCTCTGGAGCTCCCCTCCATCCCTAAGCAGATCCCTGTCTGCAGGATGAGCTGTTCCTTGGGAGTGGGAGAGCATCTGCAAGCATCATCACTTTTCAGAGATACCTCCTGGGTAAAACAGCAGCAGTGAGCGACTGCACGGAGAAATCAAGGGGAGAAAGTCTGACACAAGGTAGGGAGGGACCTCAGGGGGTTTTGAGAAACCTCTGCTCCATCCCAACTCAAAAAAGCACCCAAACCAGGCAAAGCCTCACCTTGCTGGCTCCAGGCAAGAGGTGCAGTTTGACATAGGGATCCGCCAGGCCGTTTGAGTCCATTGGTTTTAAGCCCTAAAAGATAATAAAGAAAACATGGTGCACGAATCCTCCTTAAGCAGAACCAGGGAAAAGAAAAAGCTACCCATGAAGAACTCAATAAAGAGAAAATGTGTTCAGCAAGCCAAGAGTCTCGTTCTCTGCCCAAGCAGGCGTGGGTGCCACGACGTGCTGAAAAATCAGACCCACTCGAGGAAAAGCCCCACGGACCTCTCCTCCCCAGCCAGGAGCATCAGCTGGGGCTCCTCAGGGAGCAGCAAGTGGCCACGCTGCTTCCATCCCATCATACCAGGGCAGCTGGGAGCCAGGCAGACTTAAAGCGGTGAAAGGAGGAGAAGAGGGGACCGCTTACTTTGGCCTTGATGAGGGTGCAGTGCAGGGAGCTGTTCTCCTGGTCGTAGAGCAGGCTGAACTCCAGCGCTCCCAGCGTAGCTGATGGAGGAAGAGACAGAAATAGGACCTCGTTAAAACCCCAGCCAATAACTATGTTTAATCAGCCCTGATTATCACTAATTAGAAAGATCTGCGGTTCAAACGTAAAAGCCATTTAATGAACGCGAGACTGTGCTGGCGCCGGCCAAACTGCCGCGCTCAAATCCAGCCAGATCCACGAGCTCTGGTCAAAGCTTTACAAAGGTGGAACCAGGGAGGGCAGCTTGGGGCTTTTGAGCTGACTTTAATATTCGCCAGGCAAAGGAGGACGTAACATTACAAACTCTTCTGCGGGCACAGCTCGGGGAGGCAATGCCACCCCAGGACCGCTCTGAGAAGGTGCTTCAGCTCAGGTGGCCACCATCTCCTCCCAAGGCTTGGGGCTCAACAGTTGGTCCCCAGTTTGACCTGTTTGGAAACCAGCTCATGCTTGTCTCCACAAGCTCACCAGGAAAAGATCACAGGGATGAAGAGTTAGCAGAGAACCTCAGCCAGGTCCATCTGCCCCGGCCCAAACGTGATTTCTGCACCCGCTCCTGGCCCGGAGCAGCTCTTCCCATCCTGGGTGGGAACAGGCTGGACAGGTGAAACACAGCACTGCCCTGCCATGGACAGTCGTCCTCACACAGCAAAATTCCCTTTTAGGGGAGTAAGTGACTGAACACTGAGATTTCATAGCATAAAGGTACCGAAACCACCAAGCCTTTCCTACAGACAGGTCCAGCGGTGCTTCTCACAGCAAAGGATGCTCCGATGGAAATCAGCAGCCGCCTTCAGGACTCAAATGTGGAAATGGAAAGGTTGTGCGAGCACAGAGCCTAAACCATCACGCGTCTGAGCTCAGTAATTTGGTGCAAAACAGAATGAAGATCCCACAAGCTGTGCTGAAATGACTGAGCAGGGA